AGGGGGGGGGGGGGGGGAAGAGAGAGAGATCTGGGCTGCCCCACAAAGCCCCCAGTGTAAAGCCAAGAGACCAGTGCCACAGGAGGCCATGCTGCAGCTTATTGTACCCAAGTCCCTCCCATATGAGCCTGTCATCTGCAGACATCTCTACCCATGTTCTTAGCCCCTCCATGAGATGCTCAGCGTGGGTGTCACAACACTCTTCTCTTCCTCTTATTGCCACATGGGGATTGAGGGAAGGTGGGATGTTAAAAGGCTGGGAATAGCTGCCATAGAAACAAGGCTGAGGTTCCCGGACATAGCACCTGCAACTATAATTGAGGAAAATACTAGAACCAAGTCACTCTTCCATCTATTCAGAGACTAAACAGGGATATGTGTGAGTGTGTGTGTATACACATATACACACATTTGTATATATACTCCCTACACACAGTGTGGGTATTATGTTTGTGTGCATATATATATACACATACACACTATGTATCCATCTGCAGAGAAACTCTTCCATCCTTTTTTAAACACACTTAAAGTCAGTATTCAGCTTCTTCTACCCTCTCCCTCATGGATCCTCAAGCAGGGATTGAGTCACAACAGTTTGGATTTCACACAGAATCAAAAATGCAGAATCTTTAAATAAGCTTAAAGTTCTTAATATATATATTTAAAAAATAGTGCTGCTTTAGTTATTTCTCCAGCCAGTTGAAAGGAATTGATTTTTCTCTTGACCTCTACCCATTTTCAAAGGCAAAAACACTAGCTACACCCTCCTGAATAAAAGTGAAGTAAAATTAGCAAATCATTGGCAGGTCAGCAAGTCATCAACAGGACAGCCACATGAAGAGTTTTCAAAAGCTCATACTCTAGCACTGCAGGAATTCAAATCATACACCCCAGTCCCTCCGAGATTAAATTGCCAAGGGATGCATGCATCCACGATGCTACTTTGTTCCTAAACCCTACTGAAACAGCACTGGCTGGCCTGCAAGGAAGAAGGTGGCAGTGTTGCAGCCAGCATGATCTAAGGACATTGGCAAGACAAAGTTTGTAGACCATGGCAACATCTTTTGAAAGACCAACAGCTATAACTGGAAAAAAGACAAACTTCTGGGAACACAAAGGCCTGAAATACAAGCAGGAGACTGGAGAGGTGTACACAAACTGACAATAATTGCTCACACCTATCAATTCAGTCACCTCGGAGAGAAAAGTTAGCTGTAGTTTTGTGAGGCAAAGGGGTGAGAAACGGGAAGCGGAGTTGAGATGATAATTTTTTCCTAGGAGAAAGAGAGGTAGCTGGTAACCTCTTTCCAGATGAGGGAGATGGTAGTGAGGAGAAGGGAAATTTATCACGTAGCCATTAAGCCAGTATTCCCTTCTGCGTTTTGGTATTTACTGGCGTTTTGAATTTATTTCCCAGGCTTATCCTCGAGAAGCATCCTGTTCAGGGAGACTGACGTTTACCTGCAATTCCTCTCCAAGGCACCAGGGAAGCTGCTGCACTGAGATCCAGTACCTCACCTCCAGACAGAACCGGGCGGACAGGGAGACAGGCACAGTGAAAACACGTAAGAGAAGGGGGGAGTTAAATTGGAGGAAATCATTACTCATAGTTTGCAAGTTATACAGCTGTAATGATTTCCAAAGCAGAAACTGTTTCCAGCACACCAGAAGAGTCAAAAGAAATAACAGTTGTCAACAAATGAATCTATGATGGGTCTGATGCCTGGAAGGAACCCAAGTTGCAGTAAGGGATAAGTGCTGGTAGATGCTAGGAGAGGGTACTTGTTCCTTCCACTTCTATCCTTCAAGGCAGCTCACATGGACTTGTCTACAGAGCAGGATGAGCCCTTGCATGTTTATTTGCTTTAACCCTCTCCAAGAAAAGCTACTAAAAAGGATAACATTTCCACTGGCCTCAGCTTCTGTAAAAACCTCTCCTTAACAGGTTCAGATCCAAGCTGAAATGATAGTATGTCTTTAGAAACAAACCAGCAGAAATGAGGTAATATGCTGAACTCTACCCCTTGGTCCCCATCAGAGTGCTCTGCACTCTGTGCAGGAGGCAGCTTGTTCTTGAAGGAATTCAGATAGATCCCAAACAAACTCACTCATTCAGGGAGGTTTTGGGGGGAAAACACAAACAAAAAAACCCAAGAGAGTCACGTGCAAAACCCAACTAAGACTCTGCTTTTCAAGGCAAGCACAAGAATCCAGGTCTGGTTGTTCTCTACTCAACATCAGACCTGGACTTAGAGTGTTTTCCAAATTCATAAAAGTCAACTAACACTGTGCTGAAATACATTTCGTGTTTCACTTAAAGAAAAGAAGACATTTCCATTGGGATATTGCGGGGGGGAGGGGGGCCAGGAGTAGCCACATTCCAGTTGTATAGGGCTAAGAAACAGGAGACCCAGTTTGCTTCTAGAATACTTGCTACACAGCGTACTCCTGTGTGCAAGCCTTTCCTCCTAGCTAAACAGGGTGACTGTGCCTGTTTCTGCCAAAGCCCAGCATGAGAGCACTCCATCTCCAGCCTTCTTATGCCCCTAGACCAGATCCTACATGAAATCTAGGCTATGGGATTTCTTAACATGCCAGACAGCACACATTTATTTAGTCCAATAAATCACCCTCAATGTAAAGTCAGAAACGAGAGTTATCAGCGAGACCTGTCAAGCAATAAACATTAAACAAACTAAAACATTCAGAATTCAAAATTGAAAAGGCACAAAACTGGAATTACTTTAATCCAGCAGCCAATTGGATTAAACTTTTTAACTACACTAGAAACAGAAAGTTTTTCTTGTGGTAGAAACTTCATACCACACTTATATGGGGATTTTCAGCCTCCCCAGTACATGCTTTCCTAAACAATCAATCAAGTTCTGCTTTTAAAATGTTGTGGCTCAGCCTGGCAGTAGTTCCTGTGCCTTAAAGTGCAGGTTTTCTTAGCATTATAGAGGAATTACATGAAGCAGCAGTATTTTTCTTAGCATACGTTTGATGGAGGAATACACAAACTGCACTCCTCCATGAACCTACAAAATATTGTATTTACCTTTTTAGTTCCTAGCATTATCCACTGTTATGAAAAAGTTCTCTTTTTAAAAAAGAAAGAAAAAAAAAAAGAAAAAAGAAATACCTCTTTCACTTTGTGTCTCCTGGAAGTCACGTCAAAGGGGAAAAAAAAACCCCAACCAACCAAAAAGCACTCCTATTGGATTAGATAAGAGGGAGGCTCACACTCTTACCAACTAGCCCCCAACCTGCAAAATTATTTATATTGGCAGCAATGTGAGCTGTCTCGGATCCCCAAGAAAAGCTAGCAGCTGGCATGTATACACAAGCTGACATTTAAATAGCAAACCTGTTTTGCATATAAGGGGAGGTT